AACATATTCATGGGAATAGAGACTGACCAGTTGCCCACTGCCTCTCGGCAACATAGGGGCCCCATCGCTTCCAGTAGGCGGTGCGTTCTCGGTCCTGCTTCAGACGCTTCTCCTCTTCGCAGAGGTACTCTTGATTCTCAATGAGAACCATGGTGACAATGTGTGCCGGAGGGGTGTAGGAGGAGTGTTGACGGCAGACAGCAAGTGAGGTTTGGGCGTTGGCGCGTGCAGCGGCGTCGAAGGAATTATTTCCTGCAGGTAGTATGGAGCAAACAATGGGGTAACTCAGACGATCAAGATAGTGGAGAAGAAGTAGGTGGGGTAATGTATATGAGAGACGCTGATGGCGAGGGAGTCCAATGTTTGGAGGTGGTGTGCATAGAGGAAGAGACAGAAGACGGACGGGATTTTGTCAAGGCGCGTGTCTTGGTGGTGGCTACCACCGACTTTGGACGCAGGAACTCGCGATGCATCATAGGACGGCGAACGTGCAGCGCGGGACTTATCGCGAACGGCTGACCTAAGCCCACTCTAGCCTAACGCCCTCGTCCGCCAGGTTTCAATCCCATGTCCAGCGAGCCGCAAAAAGGCTGGCCAGAAGCTTGGAAATGCCCATGCCCGCCGCTGCAGCAGCGTCGGCTACACGTGTCGCCCATCTGTTGAGCCGCTTTCAAAATCTCTGCGCCAAAGTGTTGAACGCGCTTACTGGGGGCGACGCCAGCCTTGAACAAGCAACCACGATAAAGACGTTAGTCTCCGGCCCTCCCCACCGTGCCATCGCCGATCGGACCTGGCCAGCTTCGGAAGGCCCTTCTGGGGTGTGGAGTGGTGACAGCGGATCCCGGCATGGGGATTCGCATGCCACACGTATCGACTTTGGAGCGTGGTGTCGACCCTGCTTCCGCGGCATGCAGCACAGTTATGTACAAGAGTTGGGATGCATATAGTCGCGTTTCCGAGCCTGCGCGCCAGACGCCAATTCACGTGATGTATCACCGACATCCAACGGGTAGCCCCAAGCAAATTCAACTTGGCTACTCATGTGCGGGAGGTCAATGGTAATGAATGACGTCATCAGCTGCATGTCTTCGGTGCGAAAAGGTCGAGTTTAATATTATGAAACGAATGCACACGAGCCGAGAAGTTCAAGAATACGATACAGCGTCTTACGACTCTCGCAAGGGGGGCTGGGAAGTCGGTGTGGCAGGTCTGGCCGCCCACATGAACTTTGACCGGAATCGATTAGATGTTCCCATTTGAGCAGCGCTCATATCATGCGGCTCAGTCCTACTCCTAACCGCGACATAATAGTTTACTTTCACCTCTGGATCCAACAATGCTACCGAGTGATCATGTTAGTGCACGTATTGACCAGAATTTGTACAGTAGCCGCCCAAGTCATCATCGCTAGTCGTGAATTGCTGATGCATGAATAACCTCTTTCACATGCCCCCAAGCGCAGAGCTGGAAATCTGGCAAGTGTAAAGAATTATATCCAAACGCCGCACGAGGTCTATGCAAAGAGTGACAAGCTTGCCAGAAGATTGTGATGTTTCCAAGCAAACCTCGAATCGCTGGAACTGTGCATCGCAAGAATAGACGTAGGTATCAGACTACCTAAGTCGAAACGAGGAATTTTGTTCTCGAGGTCAATCGCGGGTGCTTCTTTTGCGTATCCACCAAGTCGAGGCACGATTTACAACCGTGCAGATGGCTACATAGTCTATGTACATGTCACTTTAGTCGCCATGAGCGCTGCGTAACCTTCCCATGGCGCTTGCTCTACGTATGTATGCTATGGTGTTGATAGAGGGGCGTGGAGCAGAGCTGGCCGCTAGCGCCTGCCACGGCGATTCTTCGGGCCGCGCCATTGATGGTCAGGTACGCGGCCGCTCAGCTCTACCAAACATTACACGTCTCCCAAGTCCGACATCCTCACACAGTCACGCCCAAGATGCTCGTCTCCCTCACAGTCGGAAAGGTCGATGCTGGAGTAGCAGTGCTACTGACAGAAGACAAGCGTCTTGTGAGCCCCTCAATGCCGCCCAGCGCTCAACGCAGCGCAGGCGCATCCTTGCTCTTCATCTGGCTGACGTAAAGGTAGATTGAGTTCCCTTCTATATTGCTACCCCCCGACATCTCGTCGGGCTCCATGGTGGATATCGATGTTGGAAGAAACTACAAAGCCGAAGCCGACGCCCAGAAAGCCTTCCATGAGCTCCAGTCGGACATCTTCCGCACCTTTGGCCAGCGCACCCCCTCAGCCCCCGTCCTCAAATGCCGCAATGCCACGCAAACCTCAGTCGTTCTCGAATGGGACCCTATCGATATCGCGACCGCCGAACTGCGCAGCCTCACACTATACCGCAATGGCAACAAGGCAGGCACAATACCCAAGCCCAGTGACGTGCACAGCACCAAGCTGAGTGGTCTGGCTGTCGACACGGAATATCAGTTCCATTTGGTCCTCAAAACGAGCGCAGGCACTTTCAGCAGCGAGAAGCTTTTGGTACAAACACACAAGATGACGGACTTGTCTGGTATCACCATCACGCCTGGCCACATGCCTGCGGCTCTCCGAGAGTCTCTGCAGCGGTCCGTGGAAAGAATCGGCGCCAAGATCGCGGACAATGTGCGCATCGACACCACGCACTTCGTATGCACCGAAGGCAGAGGGCCTGCGTGGGAGAAGGCGGTCGAGAACAACATACCTGTAGTTGTCCCAGATTGGGTCATAGGCTGCGAGAGGGAGGGCAGGATTGTCGGTGTGAGGGGTTACTACCTAAACGCGGACCCTAGGTTACGAAGCGTCGGCCCAGGAGGCTCACAGCAACCCGCCCAGCAATCACAACAGCAGCCTCAGCAACAACAGCAGCAGCAGCAACCCAGAAGTCCAATCATGAGCCCGCGCACCGAGGTGACACCACCTACACCCGAGCAACCGAGGCGTGACCGCGATACCGACGGTGCAGCGCCACCCCCTCCGCCACCCAAAGACGACGTTAGCGAGAAGAGCGAGCGAAACTCAGTGGAACCGAAGACGCAGACAGAAGAGCAAAAGGCTCGAACCGAGGATCTCAAGCCGCAAAATGGGAAGGAACCACAGCAAGAGGATAGCGAGGAGGACGAATCTGAGCCTGAGCCCAACGACGAGAAGTCTCTGGAAGCAAGTTTACCACAGAGACCGAAGCCAGGCCAAGCATCAGCTGAAGACGATGGCGATGGAGCCAGTTTTCAAGATGTGGAAATTTAGTAGAGGTGCTGAGAGGACATGTCAAATCTGGAATGCCACAGCGTGTCGACCTGGCTACCCATCTGCAGCATTGACTACAACCACGACTATAGCATTGTAATGATACCAATTTTCAAGACCACATTGCGGTTAAGATGACAGTTCACGGCCTTCTATTCGCGATCTGACTGCACTAGTCAGGGACATTGTCCCGAAATCACGGACCTTAGCGCTAACGTACTCGAACCCATCTCATTGGGCCAAGCCAGCATGTAGGGAGGATCCCTAATCGACCCACGAACACTAAGATCTTACGGCCGGTCAAAGCATCATATCCCACTCTATATAAATTCCGTCGTATGCCGCAATGTACCGATGCGCAGTAAGTCCAGTCTTCCCATCTCCTGGACTGCGGAGCCGGCATCATAGCAATGTCTCTTTTTAAACTTCCCGATATCATCATAACATTACAAGTACCCCTTCTCTACCTACTCAACATCCTTACCCTTGCCACCGGACCCGATCACCGCCTCCCTCGTATCGCTATCACTCTCCCTCTTCTCCTTCTCCTCGCCGCTCAATCTCTTTACCGAGAATGGGGGGATGCAGGTTGGGGCTACAACCTAGCAATCAACTGTGGAGTGGGCGCTCGTGTGTTCACCTATGTTGACTGGATCTTACTGGGGAGCCCCGACAAAGACGGGTGGTACAAGATACAATATGAGAAGGATGAAAATGACAAGAAGAATGACGACGTGAAACAGCTGGATTACAGAGACAGACCTGGTGGTGCAGGGAGAAGTTTCTGGAGCAGAGCATGGTGGGCTCTTCGTCTCTCGACGTGGAGCCGTTACACGGGATGGAGTAGTCAGGTCAAGAATGTGTGCATGGAAGTACCGGGCGACTACCCTCGTCTGTAAGTCTACCCCCAACCTATCATCCCCGACTCAACTAACCCAACCAAGTAAATTCATCGCCCGAAAGCTCGTACGCGGCCTCATCTTCTTCGTCATAAAAGACATTATAGTCTGCCACTCCGCCGCATCCCCCCACGGCTCCTGGATCGATATCCGCACGCAGAAACCACATCAGCCCTTCCCAGTTGACTCTCCCTTCCTCACTCGCTTCTACTACACTTGGCTTCACATCATGCTCACATTCACCACCATGGAGTTCTACAACATCGCTTACGGCATTGTATCCGTAGCCACCGGTCTCGCTAACCCACGAGACTGCCCCTCCATGTTTGGTAGGTTCCGCGATTTGTACAGTGTGCGCAGTGCTTGGTCTGTGGTGTGGCATCAGCAATGCCGTCGTATTTGCTCTCCTCTTAGTGTCTGGCTAGCGAGAGATGTGCTTGGTTTGCGCAAGGGGTCTTTTGCGTCCAAGTATGTTCAGCTTTTCGTTGCGTTTGGTATTTCGGGCTTGGTCCATGGGGTGGCGAGTATGCTGGTGAATTGCGAGTTTGATGACGACGGCGCGTTGAAGTGCTTTTTGTTGCAGGCTGCGATTATTGTGGTGGAGGATCATGTTATTGACTTGGGGAAGGCGATGGGGTTCAAGGATGGTATGTTTTGGCGGGTGGTGGGCTTTTTGTGGATGGTGGGTGCGTTGGGGTGGAGTCTGGAGCCGTGGATTGGTAGGAACATTGCGAGGGGTGTTTGGGTGCAGAATAGGGAGTTGGATCTGTTTGGTATTGGGCCTGTGGTGGTTGCGTAGAGGGTTTGGATGGAGTCTCAAAAGAAAGATCTGATGAGCTATGGATGTTTCAGTGCAATGTATACTTCTTGACTGGCTTCAGTGGCTTGTCGCTTGCGAGCGCTTCGCCATGCATATAACCATGGATGTATACATCGCCAACGTAGCGATACTCATTGCTTTCGCCTTCCGCACGCAGTATGATGGGTGTCGAACAACCAAACGGTACAATGACGATGTCTTCGCGGCCCATGAATATCAACCCGTCTCTCGTGATGCAAAAGGTTCTACCCATCTGTAGATGTTACAATACGTCAGCAGAGAAAGTGATGTGGAAGATTGCACGCACCATTCTGTCCCCAAAATATTGTTGTATGAATGATCGTAGCTCATGGGGTTGCAAGTTGTCCGACTCCCCTTGTTGCTTGAACTTGGGGTCTAGCTGAAGACGCGGGAATCGCTCCTGAATCCATGAAGAGAAGATATAATAGCAGGCTCTTGTCCAGCAATGCTCCAATTCTTCAAGTGGCTGACCTAATGAGAGCGTTTTGCAGAACTCATTTACGCGCGGATGATCCGCCTCTTCGTCTTCCGTAATGTCGAAATGAGAGAGAAGCAGCATCCGCCAGTTCAGGAAGGCCATGAGATAATCTTGTAGCGAGCACAGAGTGCCTACCGCCACACCGGTCGTATCGATAATATCCAATTCGACGGCAGAAATCTCAAGCTTCCGGAATTCGTCCTTGAACTTGTACTCAGCGTCGCGGTCACTTGCCGCCGAGAAGGTATTCGAAGACAGAGCCGAGTTTTCTGGAACCTGTGCCCAATTTGGACACCATGTAGGCAAGTCAGTAAAGCTGACCTGAACAGGAAAGTGAATCGCTTCGCGCATCACATCAAGGCGATGCGTGGAACAGACGATGAGTTGGGCGACTTCCAGGTATAGTGACTTGACGGATTTGTCGTAGCTCACGTGTAGGCGTTCGCGTATATCGTTTGGGAGTATGCCTAGCACACCGAATATCTTATCCCTTGGGTTCTCGCTTAGCTTCCTTCGGCAAGCTCGTAAAACTTCTAGCAGAGAGTTTGGGCCCAACACCATGAGACGTTGAACGTCTGGAAAGCTACTTGGTCCAGTCCAGAGGTAAGGGTCGCTTTCGTGTTGCCAAAGAGCATCTGATGCTTTCTTGCATAGGTGCCAGGGGAGTTTGGAAGAGCCGCAGTAGACTATCTTTTTCTTTGCATGGAATACTTCCTGTACAACCCAAAGCCGACTCCAATAGTTCCTCCTGAATAGAGAGTGCAAAGCTTTGACGTCGTGATGCTCCAATAGGCCGGTCCATTTACGTTTCGCTTGGGCCGCCGAATCAGTCAATAGTCGTATTGCCCGCCCACTATCATCTGCTTCAGGTCCAAGCCAAATGGCAACACATGTTGCCTGTCGGTAAATTTTGTCCATCAATTGGACCTGCTTGGCGCGTTCCGTCTTGTTCTCTTGGTCAATTGAGAGCCCGTCTATCCAAACCAGAATAGTGTGGTCTGGTTCGCGGACAGCCATTAGGGCATCGTGAAGATTCGCGTTGACTGAAACATGTTCAATGCCTTCCAATGTTATGTGTTTCTTATCAAAGCCATCCCCCCATGCATACGAAATTGCAATATAATCGGGTGGATGGCGAAGCGAACTGTAGACCATCTTGCACTCTGGACCTCGTCCATTCTCCGGAGATACTTCGATAAGCCGAAAATCGTTGGCTCCTTGTAGCTCTTTATACACGACCTCTCTTGCACTAGGAACCTTCATGGAGCTGCTCACTGCAGTAGCGAAATCTGAATCAGCCCTAGGAATCTTCGTAGAGCTGCTCCCTGCAGCATCAAAATCCGAATCAGGCCATGTAGTTTCTCCAGCGACACCGGCATGCGCAATGCTTCCTGCAAGCTTGATGCCCTCGGCAGTGATGGTAAAATGATCCGCTGACTGGCCTCCATAATGCTGTTCTCGATGGGTTTCCTGAATAGACTGCGTGGTTTCCTCGAAGGTCTTCTTTTTTGTCGCGTCGATCTGCGCAGGTTAGCAATGCTCGACCACGAACCGCCTTCTCGTTGAAGCTACCTTTTGATATGCAGTATGGGAGGAACGGTTGATTGGTCCTAGAAGAGCATGAAAAAGATCACTGGCTTGCTGGGCCGTAGTAGGCAAGAGACCATTATCTTGTTGTATCGGGGTTTGAGAGAGATGATCGCCTCGCCTCTCCGGCTTTGTGGGATTTCTCCCTTCGCGGTGGAAAGAATATTTTGGGTTCTTCATAGTTCCCCCGTATCGTGATCAACTTCATTGTTCGGTTCACCGCTAAGTTATCTGGTGGTCAGTGAAACCGAAAGAAGCGACTATTCGCAACGCAGCCTGATGCGGGGTTTCCAGCTGTGATGTGTCAGCCAGGCTACAGGATTGTCTAAGCGAATGAATGAGGCCATCAAGAGAATACCTTGCTGGAGATATAGCATTTTGTACAGTAGATGCGAGGTAAACATACGTATTTCTGGTAGCGAATGGAACTGCATCATGCTGTTGACGGTCTCGAGTTAGTAGGCAGGTTCATGCGATGGGTCACGCGAGGACCGACTACTCCGACTTCCACCCGACATCTAAGGATCATTTCGAAGCGATGACACATGGGAACTGGGTGTCAATCTGTGAGAAGGATGAGGTCCCTGGATAATTTATTCCATTCCCGAGTATACGATGCTCATGGCACATCAGGCTCTTCCTCGATTGACCGTGCAGTACCATGCCCCTAAACGCCATATATACATACCTCTTCGCACCTTAATTTACATGTGAAGACCACGTCTCATTCCCATCTCTTCACGTTTATTCGTACGCCCCCATAGCCTCGCCCGCCCTCTGCTCGATATAGTACCCCGGATCGGGTCTCCTCGCAGCGCGCATTTGGTCCTTCGTCATTGGGTTCTTGACCTCCTTAACATCGACCAACTCCTTTATCCTCATGATCTGACCGGCGACAGATTGTGTGACGGGGTGGTAGACAGTCGTCATGCGTTTGCGGAGACCGAGCGCCTTGAGGACTCCTTGCGTCTTCTCGGGCATACCGATGCCGGAGCGCATGAGTGTTATCCGGAAATAAGACATGTTGGATATGTGATGTAGAGGGTTGGTGGCTTCGATGCGAGGTCTCGGTGCGTTTGCGAGTGGCTTTGAATGGGTTTGGTGTGGCGTTTGGCGTGGGCTCCGCGGCGACACGGAGTCAAATTAACTACCGATACGTCAGATTGAAGTGTTTATGTCTTGAGCAGCTTCACATACCGTTTGTGTGGCGATGTAACGTTGATGCCCGCCTGCGCGCCTGCGATTGTCACCACCAACTTTTCGGACTTCTGGAGACCTCGGAATGCGACGCTTGTCCCGAAATGGCCTAGAGTCGCGCGGGGCGGATGCCGAACCACGTGTGGGACCTTCACTCCTGTCTTCGCACCCATCTTCCATCATGAATGTCAATCGCGTTATGGTCAGCTCGATTCCACCGGCGCCGTCTGGAGAAGGAGCGGTGAGAACCTATCGACAGGTGTCGTCACTACTTCACGCAGGTCGCCTTCCTCCCGCGCCCCTGTGGGCGGTACTGTGAATTTCCATCCCCGATGCGCATTCGGTACTCGGGAGGGACTGCACGTCCCTCTCTCACAATACGGCGCATACGGCAAATGGGATGCCATGCCTGACGTTCCAACGTATGCGCATGCCCGTTTGCCTGTACGACCCCAATATTGGATTCCAAGGAAACGACACATCGGTCCGATGCCTTGACGCTTCTAGCGGCACAGAAAGCCATGTCTCAAAAATTCTATCTTTCGTCCAGTCTTTTCCTGGCAGATTTTTGGAAAGATGACGTCTCCATGTCGAATCCAGTATTCTTGTCAAACACCAAACCCGTTATGTCTGCAGTTATGTGTTTTCTGATGCACCTTCCGTCAATAGCCTGTCCCTTGCTGTCACGAGGGTCTCAAACCATCATCCATGGCGGTGTTCTCCGCATCGGAGTATGCTAGAAGTCCAAACGTGCCTCGCTAAGAGGCCCTTCGCGTCGATACGCCTGATGCACAATCCGCATTATGCGGTCATGCAAGATACCGCGATCTGCATACCAAACGGATAGCGATGGAGAAAGGGCATTCGAAGCAATGACACCGACGATTCGTTCCACATGCACCTGGCCTTACCCCCGTCACCAAACGAAAAAGGTAGCAACGGTACGGTACCTCAGGACTAAATGTATTGTGACCGTGTCCCCACTACCCGGTTGGGCCTGCCGACGGCACCGAGCGTGGGATCTCGTTGTCTCTTTGTTGACTCTCGGGTAGTCAACACTCGAACAGACGAAACGATGTACATGCCCGTCGGCGGAAGGAAAGTCAACATGACCAACGAACTCCTGATTCAAATGCATTCGTACCGTTTGAACGGCCTCATTGACCGGTCTCTTGGGACTGTACGTTCAACTAACATATGGAGGCATAAAAGACTTCTATTTGAACGTAGCAGCTTCCATCATACAGTCCCCCAATTCAGAGTCGTCTGTCAATTACTTTCAGTAAACCTCAAAGACACTACAAGTGGGTTTGACGTGGACAGTATATCCAGTCAGCAAAATCTCATATTCCCTACAACCCGTTGTTTTGAAGACACATCAATTGCAACTCCATCATGACAGGTAAACCTCCGAACCCTCGCAGACACCCCGAATAAACATACTGATAGATAAATAGCACTTTACACTCTTACACAACCCCATCCGATCCATGCATCACCGACACCACCCCCCGCCCCAACCGCCATACCGACACTGGTCTACCGCGTTCACCGCACCAGCTCGCAGACCCGCTACGCCTTCTCCACCGGCTTCAGTTCCAAGAACCAAACCACCATCGTCAACTACACATCCGCACTATCCCGTTTCGGCCTCGCCCACCTGAACCAACAAACCAACATCTCTTCCCCCTTCATCAGCGTGTACGACAACCTAGCTCATGCGGAAGCCGTCGCCAAGCACTTCGGAGAGCGCTATGGCGAGGACACCTGGGTTGTTACCGTGGATCCCGCGCACTTTGCTAGAGGTCCAGTGTTTCGCGCTGCGGACCTGCTGAAGGATGCCGCCGGTAGCAAAGAGGTAGCAGCGGAGTGGTTGCATTATGGTGAGTATCTGGTCATGTATCGCATCCCGCCGCAGGCGATACGAGATGAGACGCCTGTCTGTAGGGGCACGGCTCAGCGGAGGGCAGTGGGCGTGATCGGTGGTGGAAAGTAAAGTCTGCTGATGGCCATGGTAATATTGATGTGATCAGAGGAGTCGGGCGTATATCGGTCGCTGGGTAGGCTTAGCGGAAATACTGTATAATCTCTAAATCTCTTTCCTTACTGTTGGAATATTTCCCTCTGCTAGTTGGTATTCGCTAGGTAGTCCATCTCTTGATTCTGAATCCCATTCCTTCGCAATCTCGCTATAGCTTCCAAACCGTCGAAGGCCTGATTGAGGCACCAGTCCATCCCGAGCCAGATTGCCTTAGCAGCTAGCCATAGAGGGAAGTACTGCAGACCATGATTGGGCTCTTGTCTGGGCGGTACTTCCAGCATTGTGCTCTTGCAAACAGCAGTAAGGGTGCTTTTTCGCAGCGACGCATGTGACCTTTTTTCGCGTGGTCGGCGCACTTTCGGGACGAAATCAATCCGGGTCCTTGAGCGAGGTAGTTGCGAAGGCATCTTGAGAGAAGAAAATGCGGTGCATTTATTGTCGTATTTGTTTGCGAATCTTCTTCATCCGTCTTGAAGTGCCCAGGTGGTGCTATGATCTGGCAAAGGTCGTAGTGTGCGAAAGAAAAAAGAGACAAGGACCTTGCATTCGCAACATGAAATCGCCCACGCGCACGAGTCCAAATTTTCATTGGGTATGAGTTGCATTGAAGCGTCGTTGATAGGGTCCATATGGTGGCTGGGAAGTTCGCGAAGTTTGGTACCCATGGATTGGCGCAACCTTGTCAACCAATACTTGGCCAAGGAATTGATTCATAGAATATCTGAGTACCTTTGCTATGAATATATCTAAAAACCTAAATTACCTTCAAACCTCGCCCGCGCACTTCAAATATATACCTGCCTATGCAGGAGAGTCGCAAGGCAGCACTGTCTGTGCGCAGACCCACCCGCAGATGGCTGCCTAGGTATTCAGGCCTCAACTCTTGTAATGTGAACGCTATAAACACGTCAAACCCCGTGTGGTTACATAAATCTTCAATCAAGCGGTTATATCTCGAAACGATTGCATTCGCATCTCATTACAATCTCTCCATCCGTATTTCTCCGAATTTAAAACATCTTCCTTTCCTTCCCCAATGACTACCACCGTCAAAGAATGGATAAAGAATCTCTGCGTCTATGAAGACGATGAATTTGTCCGCCACAGGAACTGGGGCTTTACTATCTACCGTACGGGATACGGACCTTCATCTGATCAGCAATGGCAGCGACTTCTCCAAAAGATCCAAACCGATGCGCGCGAAGGGGCTCTAGAAGCGACTGGAACCGAAGAAGACGAATCTGGCTTCCAACAAGTGTGGGCGCTCTTCCGCCTCGATGCGCGGTCAGACCCTGCGCTGGCTGGTCTCGATGTGGATCAACTTCGCGAGCTGTACAATAAAGGCGAGGGCGAACAACCAATGAATACGGACTACGACCTACACCGAATATTCCTTTTTGCCGATGACGAAGCTCTATCAGACCCCACCGCTTCCATCATCAAGGCTGTGGACGCCGACTACCGTCCAGAAGACCATGTCTCGCGAAACCCGCGAGTTGGTTCGCAACGTTACTTTGGCTGGATGCCAATGAAGGCTGCCAGCGTGGCAGAATTCTGGAATCGATTACAGTTTTCCGACATGAGTATGATCGCCCCTCCAACGATCGGGGGAAGTCACTTGGTGATTTGGGATGGAGACAGCTGGAAATGAAGCGTGTAGGACCTAGAGACAGTTCAATCGAATACAGCTTGTAGGCGCAGCTTGCTGATCAAACCCAAGCTTTCTGAGTCCATCGTGGCCGTGTCATTATCGTCGCCTCAGACTAATGCGCCTCTTGGCGTTTCTCAGCTGCTCTGATCTCTTCCATTACCCTGTCGTGCAGTGCTTCGGATGTCATCCAAAAGTTGTCATCGGTTATGAACCATATACACATATAAGCGCCCCCGTGGCCCATGGCAGCCAGAGTCGCCACTAAGTAGTCCAGCTCATCTACAACAAAGCTATCAGAGTGTGCCGAGCTTACGGGTACATGAAGCACTTACGTTTATTGTCTATCTCGCACTTGACAATATAGTGAAAGTCGACACCGTGTGCGTTGAAGTATTCCTGAAGGCTGTGGAGCGAAAAGGGGAATGTGAACTGCACACCGTCATGAACGTAATGAACGCTCACCTTTTTGAGCTTGCGGGGGAAGTTTATATCGTCTTGAACAAGTTCCCGTAGCTCCGCGGTGTAGTCGACATTGGCGTTCATAGCGGATCTATCATACTTTAGTCTTAACTCAACTAAATTTGGCGGCAGTAGATCACGGAGCGATCGGGCAGGTTCTGGCGTCTCCGGTAGTTCATCGTAATGGATTCCTCGTTGTTTGCCCACAACGGCAGTGTAGTGCAGTTCCAGTTCTTCTAATTCTTCCATTTCAGATAAAAAATAGTTTCGCGGCCATTCGTCCGTCCAGGTAAGTGCACCATTTTCGTCGGTCCGAAGTTCGAGCTTTTCGAGGGTTTCGCTATGTGATCTTGCAGCTTCGAGAAGTGTGGAATGCCAATCCACTACGTTGTCATCGGGTTTATCGGGTCGATCACATCGGAAGCTTGACACAGTCGCACATGATTGTAACAACTGTGTTATGTGATCTAATGGCGGTTCGGACGGCGAGACTATGGAGATGTTTTGCACCTTAGACGACCTTGGAAGTATATCCCAAGACCCATGATCGATGCCAATTGTTGGGACACCGTATGATATGTCGTGAAGCTCCAAGGTCCTGAGCGATGGCAGATGTAATACGGGAGCTATCTTAGCCATTGGTATTCCTGTCATGTCGAGTGACAGAAAACAGAGTTTCGCGAACCCAATTGATGTATCGGCTGGTGCAGTTACATACTGCTGGGCTGCGTGAAGCAAGGGAGTAAGCCAGAGATACCGATGAGGCGTATGTGCATCGTCTTCAGGTACTGAATGGAATCCATGCCTACGCAGATCCCACAATGGAGTAGTAGAGCAGTAACCACGACTACTATAACGGTGATGCAATCTGGAAAGGACTTGGAGAGCGGTGCGAGCCTCCAAGACAAGAAGCGCCAGCTCTACTTCTTCCGGATGAAGAGCAACGGCCTCGACCAAAGTGCTTTCGTAAGGAAGGGATAATGTTCGGATATGTGCAGTCATCTCTGCCTTGCTCATGCTCAGATGATTGCCACTTGCAAAACTCCTGTCGCAGGATCCGCCGATCAACAGCTCGCGGACGTATGACGCTATTTCAGGATGGTCGTGTAATGTGCGGAGGAAGCCGCTTAAGTTTTCGGGATTGGAGATCTCGCAGCTCTCATAGAGGAATCGCATACCGAAGAGATACAGGTACTTGCAGGTCCTAGCAAGAGCGGCAAAGGTAGACCTTGCTGAGGCTCTATCACAAGTTGATCGCGCAGATCCATCCCACGGGAAAACGCGCTATATGAGTGAGAACGGAAGTCAGTATATGCAACACATCTGCTTGCACGAAAAAGCTTATCGTTTGAACGTACTTATAAAAGACCCGGAGCATAACTTACCTCGCATATTTCCAGGATGAGCTCATCTGGAAGAGGAGCTAGTGGATTGACGATAGTATCTTTCGACACTATATGCGCAGCCGGACGGCGCAGAGCCTGAAAATCAGTCAGCGAGTGCGACGCAATGGGCAATCAATGGTAGAACTTGGTCGCTCTCAGCCTGTATGGTTTTGCTCATCGGCGGCGTTCCGGCTGCCTTCGCGACGCATCCAAGGCAAGTGCGCACGCAATGGAATGTCGAAATCTCGTACTTACCTCCATGATGTTCTGGTCCGGCAGGTTTGCCGCGTCAGAAGTTGTGGTGAGTATCTCTTGTTCGGCGTCAAACACGACAGCATGGTTGCCTAAAGTGCCCCACTCCAGATGCGGTGTGACTGCCGTCGGAAGGAGGACCGAACAGCAGGACCGAAAAGAGGATGGTAAAGGGCTGGGATGAGCAACTCGATCAACAAACCAAACACGAAAATGCAAACCGGTTTCGCGAATGTCGGACGACAAATTTAAGGTTGCAGATCTCGTATTCAACGTGTTAAATCGACGACGCTGCTGTTATTATGAAATCGGGTCGTCTTCTCCAGATATGAAAGCTGGATACGTGAGTCTGCGTTTACATCTGAACCCGTTTTCGTAGTTTCGAAAGGCCATTGAACTGTATTTCGCGCATTACACTTCGTATGTATCTATAAAGTGCCACTCAAGAATGGCAGCCATCCTCGGCTAGACCTGCAGAACCCCGTGTGTACCGCCCAAATACCAGCTCGCCGAGAAGTACGCTTCCCGTGACAGCGAATAGGAAACCGATGTTGTAAGTCATAACAGCAAGCATTCTACTGCGTCGTTAGTATCTCAGCTCTCAAAGGTTTCGTTCACGAACGTACAATACGTAGCCGATCAATGCGCGACTAAACTCCAAAGCAGCGCTTATGCCATCTTTCTTCGCGCTCCAGGGTGCTTGTGCCACCCAGAAAGTCTTACGTGATGCCGTAGAGCCCCGTGTAATACCAGTCTCCTCCGCTGCAGTTGGTTGTGGTACGACTGGGCTCAAAGGCTCAATCTCTTGCCTGTCCTTATCATCCAGTTCGAGAGGCTGTTGTCGCAGCGCACGGCTCCATTGCCGTGCATGGCCACGAACACTGTGGTTGACCAGCTTCTCCGTGTTGGGCATGAACTGTGATGTGCTCTCGGCCTGCTGTTGCATCCTCCATTTTCTCTCCAGTTGGCTCTTGAAAGCACTCAGGAATCGATTGAAGATGCCCAATGAAAAGAGGAAGAAGATCGTTAGCACATAGGTCGCCGTTGTCGTCGTCGTCCATTCAGTGAACCAAAGCGTGACGCGGGTGCTACTCGAAAAGGTCGATGCCATCCCCGACATGTCCATTGCTGACATTGATGCCCCGGGACGCATGGATGCCATGAGGTGTGCGTGAGCATCAGCGGAGGTGGCCGAAGGCATATCCATGTTCATGTCTGTGTCCGTGTCGATCGATATAACTCGTGGCAGAACAGCTTGTATGAACGTTTCAGAAGGAAAGAAGGGTGGAAAACGTGGGAGACTACTCTTGTAGCGGAAATGAAGATGTCAGCCGTCAGCTGTCAGACCATACAAGATCGTGTTTTCTGGGTCTGAACCATCATTAAGAGAGTTGAGAAGCACGTCGGCCAAGATCGCCAGGCACCGTGATGCGCAGATGTGGTGCCGCCAGATGAGCAAGTTTGAGTCCATAGGCGCGCGCCGGCCCGCAACGCGGAGCGGATGGCATGCACGTAGAGCTAGATCCGACGTTGTCGCGACTGTACTTAGGGAGCTCGATTGCGCTGATTTGTTGGACCTTCTTGTCCTTCCAGTGTCCAGTCTCGAAGCCGATGAACAGTTGAACCTCTGGCGTGTTCACGACATGGGGTCAGTACATTCTGTCAGTAAGTGCTGTCAAACATTTTCCTGACGGAAAAGCAAATCGCGTATTTCTTGATCTTCATACTTACGACCATGTCCTACACTATACGTCTGTCTCTTTCGCGGCCCAAGATCCCAAAGTGGGTACGTAGACTGCAGAGGAGAACTCGGGACTGTTCCGACCAGACTACTGCAGTACAGACGTGTACAGAGCAGATCTGTATTTCCTCAGTACGTTGACAAGCTCTAATGTAGATCAGAGCGTCTAGAGCCCGACTTTAGTAAGAAGTTTTCCCAGGGCCCAGGTTCCGAAGCCTGTAGCCCCACTGATACTCCTTTACGACACACGTGTGAAGTGGGAGGGCACTCGCCGTCTTCGGGCACCATACTGTGATCCACTTCCTCTGAGTGGACCATTAACTCGGTGTTTCGATGGTCGTTCAACGGTGTTAAGGTCGGTCGGATGCGTTCACGGTCGTGTGATGGACGCTGTGGCCGCAATGTACCCTAACGGCAAGTGCCTGGCTTAGTGCACAGCCATACAGCCAAATGATGGCACGCCACATCGCGCGCGTGTTTGCGGCGTGTGCAGCCCCATCGGCGGTGGCTCCACCGGCGCGGTTTCACCTCGTGGCTCTGTGCGCGGAGATCGCGTGCTGACTATTCTGGAAGGCTGGAAGACTGACGACTGCAGAACACAGATTCGCAGTTCGTGTCATGTAGGAGAAGTATCCAGCGAGCTCGGACCGTCGCCTGGTCTGAAATGAACGTTGGCCGGGTGTGGAGTTAAAAGCAAGACGCACGTGCTTTGGAAGGTTGTTGGCCCAAAATGAAGCCAAGACAGGCGGGAGATGTGCATCGAAGGTTATTCACCAATTAAACACCGGCTGTAGCGTCCCCTGCCTTTCCCTTCTGGCAACGTGGTTCGAAAACGGCGAGATTCCAAGATTGAGATGTCCTCTTGCAGATGGACACGGCGACGGAGTCTTGGGCCGATGCATGTGAGATGCGCGTATATTGGGCGCTATGACATGGAACGCGTCGAGTGATGATGATACCAACACTCGAGGCCAGGGCCATGCTGGTGATGATACGAAGCCTGTGCCCCGAGCGCCCTGCATGCACGGCTGCTACCGAACGGTGCGGCGAAGGTTATCAACATTGCGCAGTCGAAACTTTTGTTTGCTGTACATAATTTCTTCTTGCACGCGACCGTCTGCCCTAGACTACTACAGCCACATTGTAATCACCCTCGCCCTGCTTCAACGTCGGACGTGCCCCGCTTACCATAATAAGGTTTTGGACATATCCCCAGATTTCCTTCGGTAATCTCATCAGGGGCACCTTGAGCAGCGCGCCCTCCAACACCCGTATCTGAAACTCTCTGGAAGAGCTCCCCCGAAACACATCCTACCGTCGACTGCTCGTGATGCTCTGTCGCCGACTCCCCCCAATATAGCCCGACACGTCTGGTGCCATGCCGAGCTGGAGACCGCTCCCGCGCATCGCGTTCGCAATATGCATATACCCCTTCCAGCCCTCGTCGCCCGCCGACCTGCCCCTCGAGATCGGTGACGAGCTGTACATCATTGAGCAGGGCGGCCAGGATGCATCATGGTATCGAGGATATCTGGTTGCGCCGCCCTCGCTGCTGGCTGGCCTGACGAGCGTGAAGGGCCAGACACTCGAGGCACGCGTCTTCTCTGGCATATTCCCGCGATCGTGCGTCGAGGTGCGTGAAGTCCTGGGCGAGAGCAAAGACACGGCGAACCAGGACGCTGGTCACGACTCGGGTCGTGGCAGCC